CAATATACAGTGAGGACTTCGTTCTTAATCTTACCTTTCATGTACGATACGACAATATGCAGTGAGGACTTCGTTCTTAATCTTACCTTTCATGTACGATACGACAATATGCAGTGAGGACCTCGTTCTTACTCTTACCTTTCACGTACGTTACGACAATATGCAGTGAGGACCTCGTTCTTAATCTTACCTTTCATGTAAGATACGACAATATGCAGTGAGGACCTCGTTCTTAATCTTACCTTTCATGTAAGTTACGACAATATGCAGTGAGGACCTCGTTCTTAATCTTACCTTTCATGTAAGATACGACAATATGCGGATCTCGTTTTTACTATTGTTCTAGAAGTAAGTTACAGTGACATGTAAACGACAACACTTTCACACAAATCTGTAAACATTTACATAGCACAGTTCTTCATTAATTTACTTTCTTCAGTTCTACTATCTTTAAACAGTTGTTTCCTTCTTTGGGGCATAAAATTAAGAATATTTACTTACCACTCGAGCGTAATAATCAAGAAATGTTTTCTCAGTGTTGGGTATTTTAACAAGACTGCTATACTTTGTCCTTTTTCTTCTTCTTTCATAGTTTCTTCTACTTCCTGGAAATGAAACGAGAATTATACATATTCGTACACCGACTTTCCTGTAATTAATTCTTATTATTTCTGCAGTCTTCACTCCTCCCTTCGCAACTTGTATATTCGTTCGAAAAAAAAAAAAACATCACGAAGTATAAACAAAAGAACTTGACAAGAAAAAAACAATAATAACTATTATTCTGAAGGTAATCAAACAATAACATAATATTTTTAGCACTATCATTTTTTAAGAAGAGTTTTTGTACGAACACAGAATGAATAAAAAAACAATTGGGAATCCTCAATAGCCGCGGCTATCATTAGATCTCAAATCGGCCAAGAGATGGAGCTGTGAGCTAACAGTTTGAACTTGGAAAAAAAAACAATCGCAGCCATTCTATGAGCCTCGGATAAAAATCGTAATAAAGTTAAGCCTCGATTGCCATTACGAAGTTTGTAAAAAGGAATACTTACTAAAGTTGTAAAAAGGAATACTTACTAAAGTTTTAAATTTACTTAAAAACGAAAGGGTTTAATCCAGCTGAAAACTTTCCTGCACAGAATTTCCAAAAAATCGATATGTCGTTAATTATGTTCATGTTTTGACAATAACACAGTTGATTCAACGCATTTGTCTTATTTTACTCATCCTGGTACTCCCCTATCATCATCGTCACATATGACTATTTTATGTTAAACTCCACTAATAGGTTCAGTGTTAACAGTGGGTGGAGGTTACAACTGAAGTATAAACAATTCCTCGTAGTCGAGCTGGTGTATTTAAGTGTTTTACAGTCACAAAAAAAGAAACCTATCATTCTATAGGTATTTGAAGAACTTGTA